ACTCATCGCCGACAGGGGCACAATGGCCCGCCTCGCCCAGACGCGTGCGGCTCCGCTATCGGAGGCCTGTCGCCGATCTATATGCAGCGTATCGCCGATTCCAGCTCGATCTTTCCCCCCTGAGCTGGTCCCCCCTGAGCTGGTCCCCTGGTGGTGGTTTTCGATGTGTCCCCCCTGAGCTGGTCCCCTGAGCTGGTCCCCTGGTGGACTTCGGGACGTTACTCGGGCCTCCGGCGGCCTTTCGGGACGATCCCGGCACCCCCGGAGCGCCTCCGGCGAGGCGCGGCCGTGGGAAGGCACCCCGAGGCTGGAGAGCCACCGAGAGCCACCGAAAAAACGCCCAGAAACTTCGAACCTCGGAACTTCGATCCTTTTCGAGGCTCGAGGTTCGAGGTGCCCCCTTACCGAGGCCTGGGGGCCCAGGAGCGAGTATGAAGAAGGCGTCGGATGTCTGGAGAGCGCTTTTGTTGTTCCCGCGCGATGACGGGCGCTACCTGCTGGGGACGAGGGGCGGGGGAGAGGTAACGTCACGTTTCGCGCCGGCGCTCTCTGGAAACGAAAGAAAATTCGAAGATCGTCGCGAATCGTGACGTTACCCTGGAGGGGGCGGCCGGGGGTGGCAAAGGCCGCTATCGCAAGAAGTATGGGAAACAAAAACCAAACAAACAAACAAAAATGCTGTCTCTCTGGGCCTCCCAGATGGGGTCGGAGTAGATGCGGTCGGAGGATCGCACCGCATCGCCGATGCATCTCCGATGCGGCTCGATGCGGAGCCCGATTTGCTTCTCGGCGACGTCGCCAGTGCACCGCCGACGTCGACGATGCATCGCTGGTGCATCACCGATGCATCACCGATGCATCGCTGATGTACCGGCGATGCTTCACGATCCTCCGACCCCACCTACTCCGACCCCATCCAGTAGGCCTCTACTCGTGGGGCTGACGCCCGCCATCCGCCCCAGCCGCAGGCGCCGGGGCGATGGAGGCGGCGGCGTGGCCATCCGGGGGCCCGCTGCGGCCACGAGAGGGGGCTCCCTGCAGGCTCGCCAGGCCGGCGCGCCCCACCGCCCCCTCGCGTCGCGCCGCCGTCGGTGCCGCCGCCGTCTCGGAGCCGCCTGGGGGTCTGAGGTTAAGTCGGGCCTGTCCCTCTACAGGGGGGATATTCAAAAAATAGTCAAAAATTGTCTGGGGACAAATTTCTTGGCATTGTTTAGCATATTTCTAAATATTTTGGGATATTTTTGATTGTTCGTCCAAAATCCCCCCGAGGGGGACATGCCCGACCTAAGTCTGAGGTGGCCCAGCACTGGTTCCTGCCAGCAGAAAGAGCGGGCAGGTTCGAGGTTATGGGTGTGGTTCTTGTTTCTCCCCTCTTTGAGCCTCCAGGGGCCGCTTCCGGGCCCCAGGGCAATCAGAAACGGATACGAAGTGAAAAATTGCACCAGATGGACCCGCGGAGGGGTCCATGGACCGATTTTGACCGGATTTGGCTTCATCCCCCTCTCCGCTTTTTTGGGGTCTCAGTTGAGACCCCTCAGCCACCTCCAACCGCCGTCTCTCCCATGCAGGCCTCCCGAAGGCGTCACGCGGGAAAAGCCACGGTGGGTTGTTTGTTCGCCATCGCGAGCGGGCCCCGCGAGTTGCAACACAGAGTGCCCGCGACGAGACACCATCCAAAAATCATGCGCATCAGCAGGAGAAGGAATGGGGAGAATGAGTAGGAGGAGGAGGAGGAGGTAGAGGAGAAAGAGGAGGAGGAAAGAATGAGAGATAAATCCCGATCCAGCATACATGCTTGTGGTTTTTGTTGGCTTTCTGGCACTCAAGACATGTCCAGGAACCTCCAGAGATCTCTAGGGGCCCCTGTAAATATCCAAAGCTGCCTTCAGGGAGGAGGACGAGAAAAGGAAGAGAGGAACAATCAGAAGCAGAGCATGAAAAAGAAAAAGAGAAGAAGAAGAAACGGAGGGATGAGGCTGCGAAGGTAGGGAAGATGCAAGCGAAGCAGGAAGAGGAGGCAGGTAGTCATACTACATGTGTTGAACTTTGCTGCTGCCACATCCGCCTAACTTCCCGACGCCGCTTACTGCTACAAGCCCTCCCGACGCTAGGGCGGAGGGGGGGCTTAGCCTTTTTCGACCTGCCTGCAGCAAAGCAGAACCGCCTGTGGTGAAAAAACACATCACATCGACATTGGCAGCGGAGCTACCGTCGAGCGGGTTCGACCCACGGCACGGAATGCCGCCGCGTAGGTCGCGGCGGAGGAGCCTCAGCCCCAATGGGGAATCGACATGTCCTCAGCAAGGGACATGGACGCATGGGCAGCAGCAGCTCGAGCCCTCGCACGGCGTGCGGAGGAAGGGGACAGCCCCCAGGCCGGTGGCCCAGAAGAAGACGATGGTTTCCGATCGGCCGACGACGGTACGTGGGCCGACCGCGGCACGCGGCCACTGCGGCGCGTGCCGGAGGAGCCTCCCGCGGTGCGGAAGGCCCCCGTGGACGAGGCATGGCGCTACTATGGCGGATGGGACTCGTGGAGTGACTGGGGAACTCACGGACTCCCTTGGCGTGAGTGGGGAAGTTCCTGGTCCGAGGAGCAGTGGCGCTGGGGCCCCCTCAGGCCGGAGCCGGACGCGGCGCCCGCCTGGCACGGGTGGACGACGGAGGCAAGGGCCGACCCGGGTCGGGATCGGTCATCCACCGAACGGTCGGAGACCTGGAGCCGGGACGGCTGGCGAGCCGCGGGCAGAGCCGCCGGAGACGGAGACAGGCGCGAAGTACGTCTCCGAGTGGGACGGCAAGTCGGTGCCACTCCGTATATACGAGCGCCGGGTGAAGATGTTCCAGCTGAACACTGCGATCCCGCCTCAGCAGCGGGCCGCCGGCTGCTCTCCAGGCTCCAGGGTGATGCTGAGGCGAAGACGGAGAACCTCGACCCCGAGGCCCTCGCCGCGCCCGACGGCGCGCAGGTGCTCCTGCGCTACCTACACAGCAAGTGCGACCAGCAGGAGACGCTGAAGGTTGGCACGCTGGTGGGCGAGTTCGTGGAGAAGCTCGCGCGCAACGTTGGCGAGGAGGCGCTGGACTTCGAGACGCGCTACGAGACGAAGATCCACGAGCTCGCGGAGGCCATGGACGAGCTTCTGAACAAACACCTGAAGGTGCACTACTTCCTCGAGAAGTTGCGAGTGGGCGGCGTCAAGTAGAGCCAGATCATCACAGGCGCCGGCTACGAGCTGGTCTACGAGAAGCTGCGGGACTCCGCCAAGGCGCGCCCGCCCCGCGCGTCGACTCCGCGGAGGACGTCAACCCTGCCGCCAAGCGCAGGCGGCGGAGGCGGAGCCCGCCGAGAGTACCTGAACCAGAACCGTCGAAGGCCAGCACGGGCCGCGGGCCGCGGGCCGCGGCGGGGGTCGCGCCGCACACGCGGCGCGCGGGGGCCAGGAGGACGACCCCGATGACGCCGCGGAGGACGACGGCGAGTGGCCCGAAGACGCGTAGCACGACGAGGAGATGGAGTCCGAGGGCGATCAGGGGGCAGAAGAGGCGGCCGAGCACGAACAGGTTCCAGAGGAGCTACTGGCCTTCCTGGCGGAGAACACTGCGATGGTGACCCAGGCAAGGAAGGCCCGCGCCGAAGCGGAGATGGCGCGCGACTTCTACCGCGGCGGCGCGAGGGGCGGCAGCGGTACCAATGCCGAGCGAGCCAAGAGGCTCAAACAGACTCTTCCGCGCAAGCGCCGCGGCATTGGAACGACGACCCGGAGTGTCCAAGGGCCCCTGGCAAGGACAGGGGAGGAGCGGCGGTTGCGGCGAGCCAGCCCGTCGGCGACGCGGAGCTTGCGCACGATGAGGAGCCTGCGTTCGTGGACCCACTGAGCGCGCTGATCGCCGAGACTGGAAACGAGCCACGGCTGATCGCGGTCGACACGGCGCGCGCCAAATCCGCGGCTGGCCCCCCGGCACCAGCGGCAGTCGTCGCGCGCCAAGAAGACGCGGGCGGGGCCACGAGCTCACCGTCGCGAAGGAACGCAAGCTTCATCGGTTCGGGCTGGGCAGCACGATCTACACCAACACGGCGGCGTCGGTTCCCATGGAACGGGGTGGCAAAGGAGTCGCGGTCCGCTTCAGCCTCGCGGACGAGGACGCGCCCCCGTTGATCTCAGGCGGCGCCCTGAAGAAGCTGGAGGCGCACATCCACATGAAGCAGGGCGAGATCACCCCGGGCGCGGTCGGCAGGAACCGATTGCCGCTCAAGGAGCTGAGCTCGGGGCACACGGCGACGCCCGCTTTCAATTACGGGCCGAAGGGACCTAGCGCGGGAACCGACAAAGCAGCGAGCCAGTGCCTGAGCGGTGCCGAGGTCGCTTTCTACGGGCGCAGCCCGTCACCCGAGGGCGCGCGCTGCGCGCTCTATACAGACGGGGCTCGAGCCGACGACGAACGAGACGAGGCCTCGGAAAACCAGCAAAACGAGACCGCGGGGACGGCGGCGACCGCAGCCTCTCTACATAATAACCCCAGGAAGCATTTAAGAAACCCCCCGGCGATAGCTTAGCACCGCATTTTTATTCGATATTCCGAGGGGCCGAAATAACCGAACGATAGGTTTAGCACCCGGACACACAACAAATTTGCATGCCAGAGAACTGCCAGGAGGAGGAAGAGGAGGAGGAGGAGGAGGAGGAGGAGGAGGAGGAGGAGGAGGGGGCAGGAGGAAGTTCGTGGGTGGAGGAGAGGAGGAGGAGAAGGAGGATGAGGAGGAGGAGGAGGAGGAGGGCTCATGGTGCCAGGTAACGCTTCCAGGGTGCGGAAGGGTTATCGATTTGCCGGAAGGGGGGGGGGGGGGTTCTTAAATGCTTCCTGGGGTTATGCGAGGGCCGTTTTTCTCATCACAATGTGGCCCGTATCGTGTGCAAGGAGAGGGAGGAGAAGAATGAGGAGGAAGACGAGGAGGGCGGTGGACAAAGAGGAGAAGAAAGAGGATCCCGCTTTTGTGCCAACGAGCGTCTGGGTCTGGCTTGACGTCGAATGCAGGCTCCTCGTGACCGTCCTCCTTGTATATTGGTTCATGACGTAGCCATTTGGGTTCAAGGCAAGTCTCTGCGAGCACCGCTCGAAGCCGGTCTGATTCCCTTTTCACGCGCGTCAAGTTTTCGCGCGCGATGGCACGCAGCAGCAGCAGCCCTCTCGTCGCTATCATGCTGTGCGCGGCGATGTTGTGGGGGGGCAGTCACACATTCGTGCCGCAGCCAGCACAGCAGTCCGCGGCCGCTGCCGGGGGTGTGATGGCGGGCTTGAGCTTTTGGCAGTTGCCAGCGCTCGCAGCGCAAGGCCAGGACGCGATCGGCGGGAGCAGCGTCGCAGTCGCCGGCGGAGAGGAGGCCTTGTTCTACGTAGGCATCATCTTCATCACGCTCATCACCTTGGTCCTGGCCGTGGTGTTGCGTGAGCCGCCGCGCGTGTGATTTGGCAAAGGTCTTTGGAAATATGTGACCACATTGCTCGCACCTTCTCCATGACATGCCCTCTAGCTCCCTCCCTCTGAGTACCCTCTCCATCGCCTTCTGGGTGATATGGGCGGGGCGCCCTGTCCTACCACCGTGTTCCGTCAGCGTTTGGGCTGTGCTTGGCCATTGGTTTTTGATTAGTCAATCATACATTTTTATATGCACGAGCTTTTTGCCGATGCTGTGCTCGAACTGCGCAGCTGAACGCACCGAAATCACATTTAGCTTTATGGATCGGGGTGAGCGTTCGTCTTGGTTGTACTGGAATGGGCACATCGACGGAATTATGATGCTCATCATGTGGTGGTTTTAGTGCTCGTGTGCAGCTCAGCATCGCGGCAGCGTGCGAGAAGACCCACCGTCCACCTCTTTTTCTCATGTTCTGCCATTATGTACCCTTGCCCTCTCCATGTACTGATACGCATGCCTCCCTGGCACCCTATCTCACCATCTCTCCGTGCACTATCCCATCCTCCCGATGATCCGCGCGCCTGGCTGCCCCGCAGAGTTCATCCTGCTCATATACTTCGTGTTCGACCCTCTCTACCCCCTCCGCCTCGTTTAGTTTCTCGTCATCGCCCTTTCCCCCTCCCCCCTCTCTTTGTTTTGTCTCTCTCTCTGTTGTGAATCTCTCTCTCTCTCTCTCTCTCATACAGATGCATTTCTATATATATATATACACACACATTCTATATATATATATATATATATGTCACATCCCCGCCAACCGCATCTCCGTCTCTCTTGCTCACTCTCCCATCATCCTCGTCTCGCGTTGACCTCCCCCCTGCGGTTCTGCCCGTCTTTCTCGCAAATCGAAAACGATTGTCAGATTTGGCTCCAAGAGGAGCAAGAGGAGCAGCAGGAGGAGTTTCACCTCCTGCCTCCCTCTTCTCCTCCCCCTCGTCCTCCTTGACCTTCTCCTCATACTTCTCCTGCTGCTCCTCCTCCTGCTCCTCCTCCTCCCTATCCTCATCCTCGTCCTCATCAGCAGCAGCAGCATCCTCATCCTCAGCATCATCGTTATCATCATCCGAATTATCATCAGAATCATCATCAGCATCATCATCAGCATCATCATCATCAGCAGCATCAGCATCAGCAGCAGCAGCATAATAATCATCCCTCTCTCTCCCTCATCCCCTTTCCCTCCCCGTCCGTTTCTCCTCATCAACCTTCGCCGCGCCCCACAGCTATCACAAGGATGACATGTACCTCGTGGTCAGACGCCCCAAGGGGACTCTGCCGAGGAGGAGGAAGAGGACGACGAGAAAGATGGGAATGGGAAGAAGGAGGAGCAGGAGGAGGAGGAGGACGACGACGACAAGAGTGACGACGATGACGGAGATGAGGAGGAGGGTGAAAAGGAGGAGGACGGCCAAGCCCATCTCCGGGAACAGGAGGGGGGAACGAGGTTCCTCACCTTCTTCCTTCTTCCTCCCCCTATAGTTGCAGGCAAGAGCTACCAAGTTGAAAGGTCGGCTTCGCAGACTACGAGCCCTTCATGCTGCTGCGGCAGATACCAGACAGTTATGGAACACTGGTCTCCAACAAGTTGGGTAACTATTGTGGGACGGAGGTCCTGGGACTCACTGAACGAGAGCTGCTGGAGGCTAGGAGTTTGATCCTGAAGGTTGCTGGGCCCTGGTGTGTGACAAGGTCTTGGGCTCCGTCTTTGGTAATATTGCGGGATCCCGCTTGTAAGTCTAGGTTCGGGCTCATACTGGAACTTCCCTCTGGAGCTGTATGGCCTAGCCTCAGCAGAATAGGATGGTCGTGGAGCGCGCCTTTCGGGCAAGATCGGCGTGCACGAGATTGACTGACATCTCCCACAGGACGAAAGCTGTTTGTCATCCTGGTTGGTCCAAGCAGGAACGTAGCATTCTCCTCGCCGACCTCGCACAATCCATTCGGACGAAGGTGCGCCGACGGCGCCGACGGCAGGCAGGCTACGATACAGACGTTACTTGCATCTGTGGAGCGCAAGTCGACGAAATCAAGCATAGACTTATCAAGTGTTGTAGCACCGCCAACCTTAGAGTAGAATAGATTGTGGATGGGTATCTTGAAGTTCTGAGCCATTCGGAAGCTGTTGCAAAATGTCTGTGGGCCAGTAGGGAGCGGCCTGCCTCCCACCCCGCCCGCCGCAGAGCTCCTTCCCTACCTAGCTGCCCGTCAACTCAGACGCATCGATCGTATTCACATAGAGTTTAAAGCTGTTGTGCAGTTTCATGCCTCGCCTGATCCTCCCAACCGAAGATGTTATTCGATTGATTAGGAACAATGGCCAAGCGGGGCGAAGCATCCATTGGCGGTGGGTGCGAGGTTGCCAGAGTCACGGCCCACCATGACCCTTCAGCGCCCGAACCTTTTAGCGAGAGCTGGTGGCATGCCACTGGCAACGACGAAGTCGACCGAGTGGCCAAGATGGCCGCCTTCAGACTCCCCCGGCCCTCAGAAGCGGAGCGAGTTGCTCAAGCCAAGCGAAGCAAGTGCATGAATCGATGCCCAGCTTGTGTGCCGCGCGCCCTTGCCCTGTGGCCCACCGTCGCCCCAAGAGTCTGCGGCCAAGGCTTGGAGGCGCCAAGCGAGAGATTGAGTCCAGCAGCGGGAGCAGCTTCCATCTCGGAATCGTTGCAGGGCCGAGCTGACCCAGGGGTCGGGGCCGTGCTGGGTGCTGGTGCTGGGGCGGCCCCTCCTGCCCGCCCTTTGAAGGCGGCCCCCCCGCGTGTGCGCACAGTACCCGAGTGGTTATGGCAGAATAGTTGGCTTTGCCTGCTTTGCCACCCGATGCAAGAATGATATCTATCGCCTGGCCGCGCTAGGGAAAGTTGCCCGGGCCAGACCGCCGCCCTCGCCAAGTGTTTACGACTGACTCGATGGCAGCAGTCTTGTCATTGCTTGTGGTTCGGTTGTAAGGGATCCGAATGTACATTCAAGGGGGTTCATGAGCAGGGCCCTCGAGAGTTCCGTCCTAAGTTTGCCTGTGGAGCTTGGTCTCTGCTGGTTCCGGGAAGGCGCTCCAAGGCCTCAAAGAAGAGCCCAGTGGTTCTTGGTGCCCTTATCCCCATCAAAAGGGTGGCCTAAGCAGGCTCCCCCAGTCCAGCGCTCGAGTCGCCGTACACGCCTTTCCGAAACCGTGCGATGGTTTTCTTCATCATCATCATCATCATCATCATCAGCAGCAGCAGCAGCATCATCATCATCACCGCCATCATCATCATCATCATCATCAGCAGCAGCATCATCATCAGCAGCATCAGCAACAGCAGCATCACTGTCATCATCATCATCATCATCACCACCACCATCATCATCATCATCATCATCATCATCATCATCATCATCTTCTTCATTATCATCCTCATCCTCATCCTCATCCTCATCCTCCTCCTTCTCATCCGCCTCCTCCTACTCCGCTTCCTCCTCCTCCTCCTCGTCCACGTCGTCATCCTCATCCTCTTCGCGCGCCGAGGCCGGGTATCCAGCAGAGGATGACGAGGTCGGCAAACACCAGGGGCCATGGGCTCACAGCGACCAGGCTCGCCAGAAGGGTGAGGAGGAGGAGGGGAGAAGGAGGAGGAAGAGGAGGAGGATGAGGAAGAGGATAACGGCCACAGGCTCACAGCGACCAGGCTCGCCAGGAGGAGGAGGAGGAGGAAAAAAAATAGGAGTGGAGAAGGAGGAGGAGGAGGAGGGAGGGGTGCAGCCGTATCATGCCAGGCTCCTTCAGGCCCAGAGATCCGCGTCCGCCCCGCCCGCGGCTTCAGCGAGGGTGGGTGTCGGCTCCCTGAGCCCTGCCTACTGGCAAGGATAGCCGAGGCGGCCTCCCGGTAACCTTGGGAGCTTGGCCTGCTGGCAAGGATAGCCGCGGCGCGTTCCGCCTTGGGCGCGGGCTGCGGGACCGCCGCGCGCTCCCCAGAAGGAAGCCCGCAGCTGCTCAGTGCACCTGCGCGGCGCGGAGGCGTGGAACGTGAGGCTATTGGGGCGCACCCCGCACGTGATGCACGTCTGGATCCGGGACCACGAGCGCCGCCCTTGGACATGGCCCAGCCAGGCCGCTCCGACACTCAGCCGCGCCAGGGGCTCACTGCCCCAAGAGAACTTCCTGGCCCGAAGACAGCGAGGAGCCTTCCCCGAGATCTTTGCAGGAACCGAACCTGATCGAGTAAGATCTCCCGGAACTGCGTCGATGGCAACGTCGATACTTGCAGCGTATACAGCGTCGGCCTCTTGAGACGGCTGGGGGTGCGCCTGTCCAGCAGTCCTTTCAGAGTCGCAAGGCCGAAATGGAAAGAAGGGCGCCTCATGCTCGAGCAGACGGGGCTCTGACGGAGCAGCATAAACACCCTAGACAACAGACGCGGAGCCTGTAGCCATTTTGGCTCAAGCCGGTCTTGTTTCTTGCAGGGCTGTGCTTACGATCCGCTCCGAGTGGACCGCTTTACTCCAACTTATTCAACGTTGCATCGCCATCTTGCTCATAAGTTACGTGAGCGTAGGGAACGCACATTCCGTTTTGGTTACCTCGTAAGTTCTGTTGAAGTTGTTAACCTATGAGTTCTTTGTCGTCTTGCTGCAATTGTTTAGTTTAGTGTCCAGTCATTGGTGTTACATGGGAAGCACAATAACATGTGTGAGCTTCCTTTTCATGTTGCTAGAGATGCGACTCGCCACGCCGACCTCCCAGCACAGGACGTTACCATGGCCTTTCGCTGTCATCGTGCAGCTCATCGCGCTAAGCATGAATAGAACAAATAATAGGCTGGCTTGCACAATTAAGTTCAGCCTGTTCAATCATTGTTGGAGCGTCGTCTTCCTGGTCCCCTCCAGCAGTACGACAACGCATGATGATCGCTCGGTTTTCTCTTCGACCTCTCCGCGCTTGGGAGTACCCGACTCGTCATGGACATTGGCCTCTCCTTGTATCTCAGCGGCGCCGCGTGTGCCACGAGACTCTCTACCAGTCGATTGTCTCCACACTCCTAACACACCCGACAAGGACGCGAAGCCACTCCCAGGCAGCACGCCCTCAACGGCTTCCTCGGCGAACCCATCAGCGACTATTGGGGCGTCTTCTGGTTATGTTGACAAATGTGTTGTGGCGCCTTCAGTTGAATATGAGTTTGGTCTATACTCTCAATTGACAGCCGGACGCCGCAAGCAATTTGATCAGTGGTTTGATGGTATGGGGCGTTATTGTCGTGGTACGGAAGGTTGATCGACCCAGTCTGTCATGTCATGGCTTTTTGAAGTTAAACCTTTTGGTGCCCGAGAACTGTTGCATCGTATTTATGTTGATTGTGTCAAAGTCAAAATATGTGACAACATGTGAGAACCACTGGTTTATACGGTTGGCCTTCTACGAAGTTGCTATTTGCTGCACTCTCCCCTTCCTACTGCAGGTGGATATGTCTGAGGCATTACTGGCAGAGAGCACTCCATTCTAAAACGCAGCACTCGCTCTCAAAATTCGCTGCGGTCTGGTGTTCGGTGTTATCACGATATGTTGGTTGGT